TTTCAGAGACTTTGGTGAACCCAAGGATGGTCCGCATGAGGAACTTTTAGGTTTTCGACTGTCAAAAAGGTGTAAACGTCGAAAACGTCATATACCTGTATAAAATGTAGAAAACGTCATTTATTCGAATATTATTACCATATACCGTTATTTTCAAAAAATACATATTATTTTTACATATATCTGTCTTTTCCTTACTAGAACTAATACAAAATTCTAAACTTTTTGGAGAAAAATTTTTTGAAATTTTATATGGATTTCAGTAAAGCATACGTAATTTTCAAATTAAAAACCTAATGGTTTTGGGTGGGTTTCCGACGTTTCTGACGTATGTAATATACGTCGAAAATGTATGTCATTTACGTCACTGTTTCTGACGGACCATCTCTGGGTGAACCAATTACCTAAAATCGGATGAATATATATATGTGAGCTATATCTAAATCTGAACCGATGTTCACGAAACTTTGCACACATCATTCCAGACTTAATTCATTTTTGGTGCACTATTTACCTAAAATCGGGCAAAACCATATATGGAAGCTATATCTAAGTCTGAACCGATTTTCATGAAACTTTGCACACACCATTCTAGACTTATTTCAGTACGCAATGCCAAATTTTGTACAAATCGAAAGATATATAACGGTTATAATTTATATCAAATCGGGTAAAAAATAACTGTTATTTTGTGGCCTAAATAAAAAAATCCACTTTAATTATTTATTTTTTAACGGAAAAAATAAACGTCTTTACGTAAAAAAAGTTTTATTTCCTGAAGGCAAAAATAAAAATCCCAAAAAGAATTTTATTTTCTGACGGAAAAAATAAAAATCCCTAAAAGAGTTTTATTTTTAACGGAAAAAATAACAATCATTTGTAACAGTTAAAAATCAACGTTTATTTTTTCCGTTGAATAATATCACTCAATATCCTTAATGGGCTCCTCAATACGAATCTATTGGTATATGACACTATAGGTGTTCCATGTCTCTAACATAAAGATTTTTTGTTCGCATTTTAAAAAATAACCGTTATTTTCGGTCCCTGAGATATATATCGTAGCTATATCTAAATTTCAACCGATTTTTCCCAATTTCAATAGGGTTCGTCCTTGGGCCAAATAAATGAGCTGTGCCAAATTTCATCCAATTCGAATCAAAAAATACATCCTGTACTTTGTTTATACTTTAACATGGACAGACAGACAGACGGACATACATAAATCGACTTAAAAAGTGATTCTATTCACTCGCTAAGAACTTTCATTCCCAAAAGGAATTTTCCACCGCCTGACCTCGATTTTGTGTCACTGTGTAATTTCTAATTAGTGGTTTCAATAGTAAATGAAAACACATAAAATATTTTCTCATGATATATAGTTTTTTTTAATAAAGTTTGAACGTTGACATTATGTTGAACACTCCTTCATTCAAATGACCTCCACTTTTGTTAAAATATTATGAATCAACTAGCCGGCCCGGCAAACGTTGTATTGCATAGCAATATTGTTGATGTACAATTCACATAACGATAGCCCAATATTAAGATATCTTTAAGATAGTGCTCTGAAATTTGCACATACATTGAAATTGCGCAGAAAGTGTCCGTACCAAATATTATCAATATTGGCCCATGTTTCGGTGTACAGCCCATATAATGGTAGCCCTAAACATTCGGTATTTTGAAGATCTTGGGCACGGTTTTAAACAGAATTGAACAGAAAATCTCACTACATAAAACAATATTGGCCCAAGTATCTAGGTAACCCCTTAATATTCGGTATTGGCTGTAATTTTACATTTTGGATGATCATTGTGTAGAAAATGTTCCTGACAAAATTTATCCAAGATTCCGAAAAGCCTCCGTATAATGGAACTCCACATTATAGAATGCTTTGGGGATTTGAGCACGTTTTTCAATCATTCAGCTGTAATTAGTTGTTTTATTTGGTGAGTCCAAAATCTCCTTACCAAAAATGATCAATATTGGTCCAAGTTGCGGGTTGCACCCATATAATGGTATCCCCCATAATTTCTCATGTTGTGTAAAATCTTCCTACCAAAAATTAATATGTCTCTATTGGGGGGAGACACATTTTTGCGACAAAGTATCTACTTAGGTCCGAGTTTTGATATAGCATCTATAAATCATAATAACCCATTTATTATAAAGTATTATAAAGACACTGACCGAATTTCCTAATAGAGTTGGCTATAATTAGGCATAACGAATTCCTGTGGATAAAAAACATCATTCCAGGAATTTTGCAGTACAGCTTAATGTTAAAAAACGCCATAATTATTTCCAGTTCAAATTTCGCTGTGTTGAATTTCAAACTCCCTTTTTCCAACCTGAGTGTTATCGGTAGTTAGCATGTTCAATACGAATGGATAACATCGGACGGAGGTTTTCGTATAACCTTCATGTCGCTACGTCATCGCTAATTTTTATAAAATTGCTGGTTTTTGGTTTGTTGTTCTCTTTCCAGCTGAGCTTAATGATAGATTTTTGCAAAGAAGATATCTCTGTGATAAACATTTTTGGTTTCGGATATATGCGAGGTGTTCTGTTTATAAGTTCAAAGATATTGAACAACGATTAGGCATATAACCGCCTGATTTTATATTTCCCGTGGCATAGCAACATTCAGGTACTTTAAGGAACAACATGTTCCTATTATTATTTTCAAACAAATTAATCAAGGGCATGGATCTTAGAATCAGAATACCCTGAATGGACACGAACTCGATTCAGAATCTCTTCTGATTTTCCATCCTTGCATTAGTCCCAAAATGTACTTGCATTCTATGGACGACCTAAGTCAGGTCGTCTTCTCCTCGGCATCTTAACGTTATTAACTAATTACAAAACTACGCGTTTCCTGAACAATAGTGTAACTATCACAGAGTCACTATCACAAAGGATCACAAAAGTAAAGAAAGTTCTCGCGCACGTATCGGTAATCCAATCTTAATCCTTTCAGAAACTTAATTTGTAACAAAATTTAAAATTTGTCAAACTTAAAAAAAAAATTCTGACAAAAAAAGCAAATTGAATGTATGAATCTACATTTTATTTAGAAAACATTTGTATGGGAAATATAAAAGTCAGCTTTTTAGAGATTTCCCGGCATTTATTCGATCTTTTCTCACCTTTTAAACCTTCCCTAAAGCTCCACGAACATTTCAAGACTAAGATAAGAAAAATCCGTTCAGCCGTTCTCGAGTTTTAGCGAGACTAACGAACAGTAATTCATGTTTATATATATATATGTATATAGATATATCAAATCAAATCAGCAAATTTTACTTGTTTTATAAAAAATGTTTGGTTATAAAATTCAATCGATACATTTATTATTTTTTAATGTTAACCCGTTTTGTCGCTTCCGAAAATGGGCTTGATCTAGATTCGGCTCGGTAAACTTATTACTTTGTATTCACTTCATATGTGATTTATAAGATTTCAAAATATTAATCATAAGGTGATGGTGGTGTATATAAGATGTTGTACAGCGATACTTTTCGTCTACGAACATAATATAAGTTTGGATGAATATAACGATGCTAATATGTATAAATTTTGTAACTCTCTTTATGAATTATCAGTAATGCAGATGCACGGACATTTATTATTCTACAACCGATATTTTGATGAACACATTTGTGATCTTATCAAATTGTATATACCCCCCATTAACTGTAAATCAGAGGTTATGCAAATTTAATCCACACTGGTCTTCTACATACCTATCTATACGTATATACCAAATAAGGTATATCAATCTAAGTCTGTCAGATTGGAAATGAATTCCGTAAACATTATATGGGATACCATCTGATTCTTAAGAAACCTATTGTGCACACCAAATAGGGTATCTTAAAGTCGGCTAAGTCCGCCGATGATCTTTTTCTTAATTATTCACTTTTCTCAATTTCCCACCCAAAAGAAAGCACATGATGAGAACTTTCAAATAAACCAAAATATTTATATTCTATTTTCTAAATGAAAATTCGTTGGTGGTAAACCACAACAACAAAAATTCTTCTATTATACCTGTGTTCTTCGGACTGACTGTTGTTGATTTTGTTTGTTGGGTATTTATCTAAATAAACACTTCGAAGATTAATGCTGGCAGTGTTTTATAATAATACCAAACAGTATAGTCGAAACGAACAGGCCGAATGGAATAGCTGTGGCAGACACACAAAAAATTTAAGTGTTTTTCTTGTGGTGGTTTTTACTTTTTTTTCATATATACATATATAATTAATTCAATTAATTGGCGAACTTTGAAGATAATTATATAGTAATGTTATGAAAAGGAAACTACTACTACAACTACCTAAATAAATTGCCAAAACATTAAAAACAAATCGAAGTGAATCAATGAGCGATCTATTAACGAAGTGAATAACAATAAAAACCAAAAGAAATAACGAAATAAAAACAAAATAGCATAGATACCTGCTAAAAAGAAATTCAAAAGAAAATCGGAAAACCTAAAGATAGATGAACGACTTTCATGAACCACAATCTCTTTTTTGCGATGCAGTCGACAAATAATATTTAGGCAATACGGATCCAAAAACCCCAAAAACCAAAGGAATTTACCGAACAGACAACTGGGCATTTTTTAGAGGGCTGCTTTGTTGTTAGTAAAAAAAATTGAGAATAAATACAAAATAAAATCATGTCCGTCGAAAGTGAAATTATGTGAAACTATTGGAATTTGAAAAAAAAAGTTAACCTTGAGCCAGCCATGAATGCCAAAATATTTGCAAATCGAAAACAAAACCAAAAAATAATATATAATAATTATTCAAGTATTGTTCAGTGTCATTATGCATCAAAATAAATTAAAAGTGATGTGTGTGTGTGTGTGTGAAAACTTAAATTTATTTTTTTGGGAAATTTCCATTGCAAAAGTCTGAAAGAAAAGAAAAACAGAATAAAAGTGCAGGAAGTAATTATCGAAAATTAAATATTACGTATATATGGCGCGTGGACGTAATCACAATCGTAATCGAAATCAACAGAATCAAAGTACTCAGCAGCAGCTACAGCACCAGCACCAGAAGCCGAAACATTTAATTTATCAACAACAGCAGCAACAGCACCCTCAGCTTTCAGGCTGCCAAATGCAGCAAATGCAATCAACAAATGCCTCCGATGCACCTGTTGCCGTCATCTATCAAGAGGCTGGTAGCGGCAATGATGAAGCAGAGATAGGCGGCATTAATGGTGGCAACCAACACATTTCAGATCAACCCCATCATACACCCTCCACAAATGTGTCTGAAAGTTATGGCCATAATAATAAAAGTAATAATTATGAAAACCATGATGATGATCGTTCTGACGGCCATAGTAATGATGTTCCTGCCGCCAATGTCATCCCTTCCCCTGCCGATAGTAGCGATGGAATTGCCATTAAAACACACCTTGAAATGAACGGCGACCCCTCTACCACTACCACTGCTACACACACTTATCAAATGACTATGTCTAATAATAGCCATACAGATTTTAGCCAAAACAAAATAAACACCACTGGCCATAATACTCTTCCTACTCAGCAACAAGACGCAAGTAATTCAGCCAAAGAGCATATGCCTCCACTGCCCACGGAAAATACTAAACAAGAAGAGAACAGCGGGAGAACATCGTCATCGCCATCATCATCGTCAGCTCTTCAGCCAAGAGAAGAGTCTGAGCATGAGAGAGATGAGCAGAATTTGAGTAATAACAGCGGCCATAGTGAGCAATATCGCATTAATCGTTCTCCGGTCATCGAGCATAGCGTTAGTAGTGTGATCGCAGCACAAGTAACGCAGAATAACGATCAGCGTTTAGCGAACAATCGTGATGGTCAATTGAATCAGGTAACAACGGTATGTGATCAAAATCGCGTTAATCAAACAACAACAACAGCAACAACTTCGACAACAATGGGTCAAAAAAATACCAAAGGTGGTGAAATGTCACCATCGTCAAGTTCCGCTCATTTACGGGAATTTCGCGAATCATCGTTACCACCGCAAAACAACGGCAACAATAAACAACAATCACCCGGTTTGCCCACCATAACCGTGTCAGATTGTAGTACCGCCACCACCAATACAACAACGCCATTATATCCCCAGAATACACCACGAGGATATTATGATCTTGAACAAAATAAACAAGAGTTCAATGATCACAACAACAGCAAAACCTCTTATGGCACCAACAAAGAATCCGAGGGAGGCCCCAATGGTGCATCTTCGTTATCATCAGGTTCAACATCATCATCATATCGTTCACCGTCACCAACGTCAATGTACTCGCAAATGCGTTATAATTATGTGAAACTAGAAGATGTACCCGAACAAGAGGAAGAAGAATATGAGGAAGATGCCGACAACGATGATGACACTGATGAGGGCAATGAAACCGATGAAGGTGCGGCAGCAAAAACACAACAGCAAAACAACAAATTTACAGCAGCACAACATCATGTCGCCACTGCCAGCAACCTTGACAATGAATTTCAGCAACGTAAAAACTCAGCATCGCTTAGTCCAGATCGCCAGCGCTATGCCCACAGCATTGATATTAATCACAGCAATAATAGTACGGATTCTAATTTAAGCACCAGCTATCCCGATTCGGGTATGGGTGAATCGATTGCATCGACAAATGGGCGCAGTTCTACAACACCAACAATGTCACACCATATGAAACACCAGCAACAACAACAATACCACCACCAACAGCATTTCATACGAGATGGCAGTTCCACCGATTGTGATGAAACTCTAACACATTGTGAGGAGCTAATTGATTTTGTCGATACAACAACAGAATTTCTCGATCCCAATGAACGTTTGGTGTGCATCGAAAGTATTAGCCTACCAGATGTTGTTGTCGAGTCAACAAACTCTTGTGGCAATACTTCATCATCGTCGAATCCCTCCTCCTCCTCGTCGTCGAATAATGCCACCTCAGATTCAGCCTCAGGTGAAGAACGTGATATTATTAATATTAATGGCGCCACCGGTAATGCCATGGGCAATGTTCATTTCATACCCATACATGTGGAGGGCAGTGGCAGTGGCGGTCGCACATCGCCCAGGAAACAAAGTGTAGACGACAGTGTTGTTGGCAGTGGCAAGGCAACAATTGAAATAATCGAAGATGTCACCGAATTGCACCCATTCAACAATAAGAATGATTTGAAAGCTGAACATTTGAAGTAAGTAAAATGTTGAAAATATTCAAGATAAAATGTATCTGTGTTTAGTGCAAAAATTAGCATAAGTCTAACATTTCAAGTAAAGAAATACCGCCATGTTTGATCTTCGTCTTTGATTTTCCACCATGCGAAAGTATTAAAAACAGTCTTCATATACTTAGTCTTAAGGCTAACAGGGATATAAACATGTCGATCCTATAAAAACGTATCTCACAGAAAAGATCAAATCCTGTTCAGATAATTTTTTTTTTTTTTGATTTAATAATTATCGTTCGTCCGTCTGCCAACCAGCAAAACGATTGGTTACTCCCAACTCTCGAATGGAGTTACCAATTTGATCTAGTCTCTACATATTATGAAATTTCTTCCATACTAAAATTTAGTTCATTTAGTCGATCTAGACATGTGTGTCCGTCCGTCCGTCCGTCTGTCTGTCCATTATAATTTGTAAACACGATACAGGCCACAGTTATAGACCAATCTTCACGAAATTTTGCATGTAGGACGAGTTCTGGCCAATGAAGTCCCCTATTGTTTTTGGTGAAGATCTTTTAATATTTAGGGGATGAAATGGATCAAATACTAAATTTTTGTCGGTTTTTCTGGTCGCTCCAGAGGCCGCAGTTATGGTCCGAACATCGTGAAATTTTACAAGGAAAAGGGGATCGGGCCTAAGAATAAGCATGCCTGTTGTGATTAAGATCAGTCAATATTTAGCGGGTCAAATGGACCCTGACTTTTGTGTGAAAAATTACAACATTTTTAATCTGGGGCGTATATACTTGCTCCTGAAGGACATATACTAGAGATTTTGATAGTTTGTCCAAGATGAGTTGTTGACCTTCAAATTGATATCAATTATATGGCTGTATGTACTCCGATGCGGGAGTTATACGTAATTAAGTAAAGGTGACTATGTGCATATTATTACTATTACTCAATTAGAGGACGGAAATGTCGCGCTGATCGCTTTAAAATTGTACATGAAGTTCCGATTATGGTCAAGGACGACGCTTATAGTTTTCGGTGAAGTTGAGATTTCATTCAGGGGGTGCAATGAACCGATAACTTTAATTTTGTCAGATTTTCTAGTCGCTCTAAAGGCAATTATTATATGCAGAACATCACATATTTTACAAGGTGAAGGGGATCTGACCAAATACTGTTTAGATGATGATCGGTCAATTTTCCGAGGGTCAAATCAACCAAATCCTAAAGTAACCAATTTTTATTTTATGGCGTAAAAACTCACATCAAGAAAAAACATTTTGGAAAATATGCAAGACTTAGAAAGAGGAGTTGTTGATCTATAATAGGTAAAAAGGGTGCAAATATCACGAAATATTGCCCAGGCTCAGAATATAGAACCGCCGAAAGTGTGCTTTTCGTGGTAGTTGTGTAGGGTATCATATGGTCGGCCCCGTCCGAATTTACTACTCCGCTCACTGGTCTCGTCCCATTTGAGTCACTAAGCATAGACCAATCATCATGAAAACAGACATAGTCATTCGTTGGCCAGATTCCCTTCTCTGTGTAAAATTTGGGCTACCCATTCTGGTATAAACCTTATGCTTGGTCCAAACAATTTACATTTTCAGATTTAGTGAACCGGATATGTAGGCCATATTATTTTATGTCCTCTGGTACCACCCTGATATGAACAATTGTTAATTTTATAAAATGTGAAATGCCATCGATATGATGATTACACAGACACCAGTGTAAATTTATTTTAATACTTTCTAAATAGCATTTGTTTGAGGCCAAGAATTTCTAAAAACAAATCGAAATATTGGTCATAATTATATTTAATATTTTGACTATCTGATTAAAATCGAACAGTAGGAGAGCAGAAACATAGCCGCCATATTTCATTTTGCAAAATTTTAATTTAGTACCTCTATTATTTAAAATTTGGGCGTATGTTTCGACGTATTCTATATACGATTTCCTATGAATTCTGGATGTTTTGAATGCGGATTATATAATTTACGATCAAGGGGAACTAAGCGACATAAAACGAGTTACGTTCTTTTTGTAAACCATCAGCGTAGGGATATGAAAGTTTATCGTAATTATACGTCTGAGGGGTTGTGTGGCACACTTTTTTATTCACCAGGAATGACAAATTACAGGCACTTCTGCGTAGACAAATGGGCCTATATCGGGTCAATAATTCAACGAATCCCAATGTTTATCTGAATGAGACGAAATTTTGCATTTAGGACTGGCTTGAGTCTATCCATCACAAGGATGAGCGTATATTAAATATGTAATTATCATTTGAAACATCACGCAGAAATCAGGATCTTAAAAAATCTATGTCGATTAGATATTTTGGGTCATTTTTTATATGAATTGCCAGTAATTTTGCATTATATAAGTATAGGTACTTGTTTTGGTATAGCCCACTAATAATGGTAACTTCAGTTTTGGAAGTTTTACGGATTTAAGACATATTTTTCAAACGTCACGCGTCATTATGCCCTCAACCACACTGTGGTACAGGGTATTATGTATTTGTGCATATGTTTGTAACAGGCAAAAGGAAACGAGATAGACACATGATTCCTTTTGAGAATATGTATAGAATCACTTTCTGAGTCGATGTATGCATGTCGGTCCGTCTGTAGATGTTAAATTGTAAACAAAGTACAGGTCGCATTTATAATTCGATTTGGATGAAATTTGGCGCATGTCACATATTTTCCCCAAGGATGAACCATATTGAAATTGGGAAAAATCGGTTCAGACTTAGATATAACTCCCATATATAGTTTCGTCCGATTTAAGGTAAATGGTACACCAAAGTCCCTATGTATCATTCAATTTGCACGAAATTTGGCATAGATAACTGAATTAGGTCTAGAATGTGTGCTAAGTTTCGTGAAAATCGGTCCAGATTTAGATATAGCTCCCATATATATTTTCGTCCGATTTAAGGTAAATGGGTATGTAAAGTTCCTATATATCTGCGTACTGAATTAAGGGGACCCCACCCATTCTTGGGATCAAAAATTTTGTTGATATAATTCGAATCTACACTAATTAAAGAATGTCCTTACAAAATTTCAAATGAAAATCTCAAGAACTCTTGAAGATATAGCCGATTTATTGTGTCAGCATCAAGTGACGGCTGAAGGGCTTCTTAAACTTTAAACGCGTTTTTCTCTAAACATTTTTGTGCGAATGGCGGGCACGATAACTCAAAAACTAATAACCCAATCGATTTCAAATTTTTACACGTTTCTCTGTGAGTGTATAGCTATCGTATGAACTAGGATAAAACCAATCGGTGAAGATCTTCCTTATTTTTTAACTTGGTTTTTGGTCAAAAATCGACGATTTTCCAAAAATATTTTTTCAAAGGTCCGCCATTTTGTTAATTTTAGAGCGAAGTCAATAATCCTAGTTCATACGAGAGCCAGACATGTACTCTTCCTAACAACGTTGGAATTTTCGGAGTCCGATGTTCTAGTGAGGAGTTATCATGCCCGCCATCAAAAATAAGGACTTTTCTTTAACTACAAAAAACAACAACAAAACAATAACAAAAATTTTTTGTAAATTATTATACCCTACACAACTATGTGTAGGGTATAATAGCTTTGTGCAGCCCCAAAAGTTTGTAACGCCGCGAAATATTGGTCCTAGACCCACCTTTAAGTATACCGATCGTCATATCTCGACTAGCTGAGTCGATCTAGACATGTGTGTCCGTCCGTCTGTCCATTATAATTTGTAAACACGATACAGGCCACAGTTATGGACCAATCTTCACGAAATTTTGCATGTAGGATGGGTTCTGGCCAATGAAGACCCCTATTGTTTTTGGGAAAGATCGGTTAATATTTAGGGGATGAAATGGACTAAATACTAAATTTTTGTCGGTTTTTCTGGTCGCTCCAGAGGCCGCAATAATGGCTCGAACATCTTGAAATTTTGCATGGAGAAGGGGATCAAGCCAAAGAATAAGCAGGCATGTTTTGATAAAGATCGGTCAATATTTAGCGGGTCAAATGGACCCTGACTTTTGTGTGAAAAATGACAAAATGTGTATTATATGGCATATATATTTACCCCTGAAGGACATATACCCGAGAAGTTGATATTATATCCAAGAGGAGTGGTTGACCTTTAAATTAAGACCAATTATATTGTTGTATGTGCTCGGATGAGAGAGTTACACCTAAATATTTACAGGTATCTCCGTATTTGTATATTATTTAGTAAACCATTATCACTCTGGAGAGCTGAACTATAGCGCTGATCGCTTTGAAATGTTCCATGAGGTTCCAGTTATGGTCAAGGACAACACCTATAATTTTCGGTGATGACCAGATAATAATTTTGGAATGAAGTGGACCGAAAACTTAATTTTTTGTGTTATTTTCGAGTCGATCTATAGACCTCAAATGAAAGCCGAACATCACAACACAACCCACGGTGAAGGGAATCTGGACAATAGCTGTACTGAATACTCGTAATATTCGGAAAAGTGTGAGGAAGAGGTGCTGTTTACCTCTAATCGGGCAAGAGGGTGCAAATATCACGAAATATTGCCCGGGCTCGGAATAAACATCCGAAAAAAATTTGAGTTCCGTGGTAGTTGTGTAGGGTATCGTATGGTCGGCCCCGTCCGACTATACTGCTCCGCTCACTGGTTTTTCTTCTATTTTAAATCTTCAATTATATATGTGTGATTTACAAGCCCATTGAAAATCTTGAAAAATTAAAATCGAGAATGGGGGGGTTCCCTTAAGTCTAGAATGATCTGTGCTAAGTTTCGTGAAGATCGGTTCAAATTTAGATATAGCTCCAATATATATTTTCGTCCGATTTAATGTAAATTGTGTACAAAAGAACGAACGATTGGCCGACCCGCATACAATTTTGAACTTTGTTCTGAAGTTACTATAACCTTATGTGTGTGTCAAGTTTTCTTGAAATTGGTTCAGATTTACATATAACTCCTATATATACTTTCGTCCGATTTTAAGTAAA